CACCATAGTCCGCATAGGCGTTTCGTATTAGACCGAGTAACAGACCGGAGGAAAATTCCACGTCATTGTATAAAATAAAGGCGAAGGAAGCCAAAGAAATTATCTGCAACGGCTGGAGGACGGGATGAAAGCAAACAACAAACAGTTCTGGAAGTACATGAGGCGCTGTGGTAATGATCAGATTGGGATAGGAGACGTGATGGTCAACAACGAAATAATTACCGATGACTGGCAAAAAGCCGAAGCCTTCAATCAATATTTTCAATCAGTTTTCTTGCCTCCTGAGAGCCTCGACTACGATAGATACCAGGGCACGTTCAGTGCAATGCCACCAGTTGAACTTGCTATAGGAGGTGTGTTGGAACTTCTAAAACATATAGATGAAGCTAAGGCAGTAGGCCCAGATGGGATCTCTCCGAGAATTTTAAAACGTTGTGCAGATGCGATCGCTCCGTACCTTTTTGTAATATATAACAAATCGTTGAATGATGGTTCATTGCCAGAAGACAGGAAAGTGGCACAGGTGGTGCCTGTGCACAAAAAAGGGCCCAAAAAAGAAATTACGAATTACAGACCGATCTCACTGACATCTATATGTTGTAAATTACTGGAGCATGTTTTACATTGTCACATCATGAAGCATTTAAACTGTCATAAATTTTTCTTTGACTCGCAACATGGGTTCCGAAAGGCGTACTCATGTACTACGCAACTAACTGAGCTTTATCATGATTTAATGACGGGGGTTGACGGAGGCGGACAGATTGACTGTGTTTTCTTAGATGATAAAAAAGCGTTCGATACGGTGTCACACGAACTATTATTATACAAATTAGAGCGCATGAATTTTGACTCGACTATCCTATATTGGATAAAAGCATATTTGTCATCACGTCTTCAGCGTGTTGTTTTAAATGGGAAAACTTCAAATACTGTTATGGTAACATCTGGTGTACCGCAGGGGTCCGTTTTGGGTCCATTGTTGTTTCTGATATTTGTTAATGATATTAATGACGGTGTTAATTCACAGGTACGATTGTTTTCCGATGATTGTGTTGTTTATACGTGTGTAGAGTTCAGGTCGTCCCAAAGCGGAGAGAAAGGACGAGGAGGATGTGCTTGTAAACTCTAACTATACTTTATTTGCAACTTGAACTGGAGGACCGATCGTGGTCCCCACACCTGTGCCGGACGGACAGCATCTGGGATCGACTCGTCGGGGTCCCTTTCTTCTTTCTCTTCCCCGACGATATCCTCCTTTCCGGTCCTCCTCGCAACGCGTCTCTCCGTCCTGGCGGCTCTCTTTGTTTCTCAAAGGGAGGCAGGCCGGGGAGAGATATCTGATTCCCGATAGTGCTTGCCGCTTCCATCTCCTGTCGGCTTCTTCTCGTCTGAGAAACCGCCTTGGCATGTGGCTACGACTACACCGACGTCGCCACAGTACTCCCCCCCCAGTGAGCGGGCGAGCGTTTGAGTGCCGTTAGGGCCCGTGGGGCGTCTTGTGGGGTGAACGGAGGAGGGGAGCGTTCGGTGTCGAATGGTCTGTGACGCCAAGTCGTGCTGGCCAGCGGACGCGGCGGCCGGAACGTGTTCGGCTGTCTGGCCTTACCTGCGGAGCGCCAGCGCACGAGCTGTCGGCAGGAGGGAGAGCGTCTGATGAGGGCGATGTTCTTTCCGGCGGGGGTGTAACAGGAGCCGGCGTGGCAGATGGGGCGCTATCAAGATAGGCCGGTTTCACGCGGTCCAACGCAACAACTTCCTGGCGTCCGCGGATTGCAAGTGTCATATTCTTTGATCCTCGCCGCAGCACCTTGTACGGTCCGTCGTATGGCGCTTGAAGGGGCTTCCGCACGGTGTCATTTCGTAGAAAAACATGCGTGCAGGTCGCCAATTCACTGCTTACAAAGGAAGACCGGCCGTGGTTTTGACGCGGTGATGTGGCGCGGAGTTGCGTCATGGCCTCTTGGAGTTGGTTGGCGTAGCTTGTGGGGTCGGGACAATTAGCGGCCGGCACGGCCTCGAAAAATTCGCCCGGGAGTCGAAGGGTTGTTCCATAGACCAGCTCCGCGACGCTGCAGCCGATGTCAGTTTTTAGTGCTGTGCGCAGTCCGAGCAGAACGAGTGGCAGCACCTCCATCCAGTCTTGGCACTGATGGGCCTTGAGGGCGGCTTTGAGCTGACGGTGGAAGCGCTCCACCATGCCGTTGCTGGCGGGATGGTAGGCGGCCGTTCGAATCCTTCTCGACCCCAGCAGCTTCATGAGGCTGGAGAAGAGATTGGACTCAAACTGCCGGCCTCGGTCTGTGGTGACTGTCGAGGGCGTGCTGAATCTCGAAATCCACTGCGCGACGAAAGCGCGTGCCACTGTGTCCGCGGTGATGTCGGGCAGCGGGATCGCTTCCGGCCAGCGGGTGAAACGATCGATGCACGTCAGCAGGTACGCCTGTCCCTGGGATGGTGGCAGCGGTCCCACAATATCTATGTGGATGTTGTTGAACCGCGCGTCAGGTTGGTCGAACTTTCCCAGTGGTGTTACAGTGTGGCGCTGAATCTTGGAGCGTTGACACTGCAAACAGGTGCGGGCCCACTGGCGTACGTCCTTGTTAATACTGGGCCACAGAAACCTGGATGTTAGAAGATGTTGTGTGGCCTTGATACCGGGATGAGAAAGTCCATGAAGCGAGTCGAAGATCTGGCGACGAAACTGTTGAGGCACGTAAGGGCGCGGGTATCCCGTCGATGTGTCGCAGATGAGGTTGACAGGACACATAGGAAGGGGAACCGCGCGGAAAACGAGCTTGCCGGGTGTTGTTTGGAGGTCGCGCAGTTGTGCATCCTCGCGTTGTACCTCTGCCAATCTCTCGAAGTCGATGGCGGCTAGTGAGTCGACGGTGCAGGCGCCTATTCGCGAGACAGCATCCGCAACGACGTTGTCCGCGCCGTGGATATACGGATGTCGGATGTGAACTCCGAGACGGAGGACATCTGCCGCAGCTCTCTCTGGGAATGACTGCCGCCATCTGATCTCAGAGACTGGAAAGCGTGGACGAGGGGCTTATGATCGGTCAGCACAAAGAATGTGCGACGTTCTATGAAGTGCCTGAAGTGTCGTAAAGACAGGTAAACACCGAGTAGTTCGCGACCGAAGGTGCTGTACCGCCGTTCAGTGGGTGTTAACTTCCGGGAGAAAAAGGAGAGCGGTTGCCACTGTCCGTTGACTTTCGGTTGAAGCACTGCACCGACGGCGTTGTCTGAAGCGTCGGTGACCACGGAAAGTGGGGCGGCTTCCTTGGGGTGCGTAAGCATGGTGCTGGTGGCGAGGAGCTGTCGGGCGCGGTCGAATGCCGATGTAGTGCACTCGTCCCAAGTTACCTCTGCAGTGGAGCTACTCACGCCCGAGAGCATCCGGTGCAGCGGCTGCAGCTTCTCGGCACAGCCCGGGAGAAATCGGCGATAAAAGTTTATCATGCCAAGGAACTCTCGGAGTTGTTTCTTTGTTGTCGGTTTTGGGAACTCTTGGATGGCCTGCACCTTGCTGTTAAGTGGGCGGATTCCGAAAGAGTTCACCGTGTGTCCCAGGAAGTCGAGTTCCGGCCTGCCAAACACGCACTTGCCAACATTGACGACAATTCCGTACTCGGCGAGGCGAGTAAAGAGGGTTCGGAGGTGTCCGAGGTGTTCGTCGGCAGATTGGCTTGCCACAAGGATGTCGTCAATGTAGGCGTAACAGTATGGGAGGCCCCGCAACACCTGATCTATGAAGCGCTGGAACGTCTGTGCGGCGTTTTTTAGTCCGAACGGCATACGCACGAACTCGAAGAGACCGAAGGGCGTTGTTACTGCCGTCTTCGAAATGTCCGAGGGCTCGACCGGTATTTGGTGGTATGCACGTACCAGGTCGATCTTGGAGAAGATGGTACTGCCGTCGAGCGATGCTGTAAAATCATGAATATGCGGGATCGGGTACCGGTCTTCGGATGTGATCCGGTTGGGGGCTCTGTAGTCTCCACACGGGCGCCAGTCCCCGGGTGTGGACTTGGGGACCATGTGGAGGGGCGAGGACCAGGAGCTCTCCGACTGGCGGACGATTCCCAGCTCCAGCATGTGCTCGAACTGTTGCTTGGCGGCACGCAGCTTGTCCGGTGGCAGTCGGCGTGGACGCGCGTGAACCGGAGCGCCTGACGTCTCGATGTGGTGCGTCACGGTGTGTTTGATGGGGCGCTCGTCGGGTCCAACACGCGTCAGCTCCGGGAACTCGACGAGCAGCTTGGCGTACGGCGACTCCTCAGCCGGTACCGCGAACGTGGGGCTGATGGATTGCAGGGACGACGGGATGCCTTGTATGGTAAGACTTGTCGCTTCGTCTCGAAGACGTCTCCCCTTGAGGTCCACCAGTAGCCCGAAGCGCGTCAGGAAGTCAGCTCCGATAATGGCGTGCGGGATAGCCGCACATACAAACACCCAACGGAAAGTCCGCCGTAGTCCGAGGTCGAGAGTCAGTGACTGCTCACCGTACGTCGGGATGACCGTGTTGTTGACGGCCCGGAGCTGCGACGTACTGGGGTGCTGGCGATCTTGTGCGCTTGCAGGGACGACACTAACTTCTGCTCCGGTGTCCACGAGGAAACGCACGCCAGTGGTGCGGTCCGCCACAAAAAACAATGATCGGCGGCTGTCCTGAGCGGCGGGAGCACTTGCCACCGTTAGTGCTCTGCCCTGGCGTTTTCCGACTTCGAGCATGGAGGCTCGCACTTGCGAGCTGAAGCACCAAACCGTTGATGGTACCAACAGTCGCCGGAGTCCGCGCGGGACGATGAGCGAGATTGTCGTCGAGGGCGTCCGCGTGACTTGCTGCGGCCGCGGAGAGGTTGCATTTGCGCCACCATGTCAGCGAGGCGAGAGACTTCAGCTCGAAGTTCACGTACCTCGTCCGGGATGCCGCGGGCATGGACTGCTGAGATGTTGGGTGATGGCGCCGCGACCTCCATGATTTTGTCCGCGAGCTCAGCAATATTGGCAAGGCCGATGTCACCTGCCGATGCGAGCACCATCCGCACGTTGCTTGGCAGCCGCTGCAGGAATAGCTCGCGGAGGAGCGAGGCGTCGATGGTAGACGCCTTGTCCCCGAGGAGCTGCTCCATTCGACGCAGCAGCTGCGTAGGCGTCCGGTCGCCCAGTTCCTCGGCAGTGAGCAACTGCTGGAGACGCTTTTCTTCCGAGGCGCTGGTCCGGCGAATGAGCTGTGCCTTTAGTGTGTTGTAGGCGTCTTCTGCTGGCGGTGTGATCAGCAGGTCTCGCACCTCCGTGGCGATGGCTGGGGAGAGGCTGGATACGACGTGGTGGAATTTTGTCATGTCCGCTGTGATCCGACGAGTCGCAAATTGCGACTCAACCTGGACGAACCACAGCTGCGGGTCCGCGGGCCAGAAGGCAGGCAGCTTGAGGACGGCTGCCGAGATGCTGCCGGATGGCGTGGGGTCAGTGTCCGGCATGACGGGGCTTGAGGCTGTTGCGTAAGGTTGTTTTGCCAAAACCGGGTCACCACTGTAGAGTTCAGGTCGTCCCAAAGCGGAGAGAAAGGACGAGGAGAATGTGCTTGTAAACTCTAACTATACTTTATTTGCAACTTGAACTGGAGGACCGATCGTGGTCCCCACACCTGTGCCGGACGGACAGCATCAGGGATCGACTCGTCGGGGTCCCTTTCTTCTTTCTCTTCCCCGACGATATCCTCCTTTCCGGTCCTCCTGGCAACGCGTCTCTCCGTCCTGGCGGCTCTCTTTGTTTCTCAAAGGGAGGCAGGCCGGGGAGAGATATCTGATTCCCGATAGTGCTTGCCGCTTCCATCTCCTGTCGGCTTCTTCTCGTCTGAGAAACCGCCTTGGCATGTGGCTACGACTACACCGACGTCGCCACACGTGCATAACAGACGAGGGGAGTTCCACGCGGCTGCAGTGTGATCTGAATCGAATAGAGCAGTGGTGTAAAAAGTGGAAGATGGAGTTAAACGTTAAAAAATGTGCCCATGTTAGTTTTACCCGCAAAACCAAAACAAAAGTTGAAACATGTTACCAACTGAATAATGAAACCGTAACAAAACCGCAAACAGTTAAATATCTTGGCGTCACTCTGTCAGCTGACTGCACCTGGAACGCACACATTAACGACGTTGTTATGAGGGCCGGCAGAGCGCTTGGATTTTTAAAACGAAATCTAAGAAAATCAACTAAATCTATCAAAGAGCTCGCCTATCTATCTTATGTGCGCCCAGTGCTAGAGTACGCCTGCACCGTTTGCGATCCTTCTCAGCAAAACCACATTGTTGTTTTAGAAAGAATTCAGAGTTGTGCCGCTCGTTTCGTTTTGGTGCAGTACGGCCGCTTTGAGAGTGTAACCGACATGATAAAAGAACTGGGATGGTCTACATTGGCATTAAGACGAAGAAATTTGCGCTTGAAGTTTTTATACAACATTTATAACAATAAAACTGGCATTAATAGCTCATTTTACTTATTACCACCAAATTATATCTCAAAAAGAAAAGACCACAGTCATAAGATTAGAGAATACCGCACCAGGACGGAATTGGGCAAAAATTCTTTTTTTGTTAAAACAATTAAGGAGTGGAATGCCTTGCCCAGTGCGATTGTGTGTGCCGCGAATTCAGAAATGTTTTTTCAGAGTTTATTCGCCCCCTGCGATAATGCCTGATGGCGCTGCAGGGCAATGATGAATAAAGAATAAAGAATAGCGTTTTGAAACTAATGAGTGTGTATTAAGTAGAGCATTTCGTGAACCTGTTAAACAAATATATTGGACATATACCTGTGCTTTCTTCTAGTAATTGAAGAGCATATCGAAAATCGCGAGACCAAGTTTGAAATCCAGGAAATTACGAAACTGCACGTGCATGCAAGAATCGTTCGTTCCCCGTCGATGGTGTGGTTGCCTAAACGTCTTATGCCATGTTATTACAGCGAAGCCGTTTATGGTTAAGGTTCTGTGGATTTTTCGTCTGTGTGACCAACAACTCTACGCTCGCACCGCACCCACACGCCGCACGTGCCGCTGCTTGCAGCAGTAACTATTCTGAAGCAAAAACCTAAAACAATTGGCATGTTGTACGCGAGTTCGTCAACGCGTTATTTTGGTTATTTACTTCCAATCTTTTATACGGGGAAGGCATGCGCGTGTGGCGCGGGGAACAGCATTCCCTGCGTTCTGCCTTGCAAATAGATATGCAAGTAGAATGCAGTTCTGAAGTGGATCTCCATTGAACATTTGCAGGATATCCGAAAATATCATGCCAAAATAGAAATTGGCTCAGGGTCGTCCTTTGACTGGTTTAAAACATATATAGGCAAGAGTAGAACGGATTCAGGCATGCCATTTTAATATCCGAAACTGGTCTGCAGACGGAATCCCATTGCGAATATCCGACGGATATGCAATTTTGTTCGCTTTGGCGCTCCGTCGGATGTACTGGGGACGTTGGCCAGAGGTATACGGATGTCCCACGGATGTTCGATATATCTGAATCGAATCTCTATCGGGTGTTCACGGGGTATCCGAAGATATTGTGCCCAGTAGAAATTGGTTCAGGTTAGTTCTTTGACTGGTTTTTAAGATATCTGGGCTAGGGTAGAACAGATCCAGGCATGCCATCCGAATATCCGTAATCGGCCTGGAGAGGGATCCCAATACGGATGTCCGACGGGCGTGTAAATTTGTTACCTTTGGCGCTCTGACGGATGTCCTGGGGACGTCCGTCGGACGGCTATGGATTTCCTGGCGACGTCCGAATATCTTGAGCGAATATCTGTCTAGTATCCAGTGGACATTCAGCGGTTTGTTGGGTAGGTTGGAATTAGCGCCACATGGGCATACACCAAATGAGGGAGTACAGCGTGATATGGGTTGGGCATCTTTCTGCCCAACCCATATCAATATGGTGTCAAAAGACCACCCAACTTAAATTTTGCTGCAGTCACGTATATTTTTAACAAAGCCAAAGAACGCAACAGCGCGAAACCGAAACTTGCGCACGGAGGTCGGATAAATACTAGAATTGTGCTTATTTCAAATACTCTATACTCAAGATACTGTATTTTAAATACTTTTTGAAGTATCTTGGAATCTTGCATATACTTTGGATCGAGAGTATTTAATACTCTATCTTGATTACATTTCTAAGTATTTTGTACTCATTATCTCAAATACATTTTCGACATTCCGCCATTTTCCAAGTTTTTCGGTGTGAAATTGCGTGGGCGTGGCACGGGAAAACGTAAACATTCCTTCGAGCAACCCAATGCCGTTGCTGGCTCCGATTAGCTACGGTGACTTTGGTTGAGCTCGTGGAAAAAACATCGCTTTTTTGCTCATTGTGAATCTTATTTCAGCCAAAAGTTCGTACAATAAAGTTTTTTCCCTCGTCTTCCCAAAGGCACCTTTTGTTTTTTAGAGTTTCCTCCCAAAAATCCCCCAAACAAGAGGGGTGGTTTCTCGGAAGTTATTATTGCCACAATGAGGCGCAACTCAACCCGAGAAACGACCTACGACAACAATGCAGACTTGTTTGTCAAGAAAAAAAAAATAAAAAAACTCGTAGAAATTTTTTTGTTGTTGTTTTGTTTTGGTTGTATGTTTGACTTTTCCGCGGCAAAACGTCTAGGCTTTCTGTTTATTTTCTTTTTGTCTTCAGTCCAAAACTTATTGCGCTCGCGAACACGGTCTAAGCGAACATTGATAAGCAGAGAACCGGACAGGAAACGAACTAAAAGCTGGATGACCTTTCGCATTCCCAACAAAGCGCCCCCCAACGCTGAGTGCCTTTCTGAACGGAACTTACTTGAAGGTGCGATCACTGCCGTGGCTATTGGGGAGGAGATCGAACAGTCATACCTCTAGCGGCACGCTTCAGCTGTGGGGACAACAAACTGTATTTTCTTGTTTATTTTTGATCTGAGAAATCGAAGATGACGATTCGAAGGCCGCTCGTCGTGCAACTGAAGCACTGGTCAAAGTGAAGCGCTCGTGCCCAGGCCGTGCTAGGCGAGGTTAAATTTCTTTGTTATGTTGTGTCAGTAAACACCCGGCTGTGGGGAGAACAAGCTCGATAAAGTGACCCCTATAGTTCCATATCGTGCCCAATTATGTGGGATCTTCATTAACTATTCACTCATATTCGTATCCCAAGTTCGTTTATAGTGAACACCCCATTCAGGGAATATGGATTGTAGGTAAACGATGCGTCTAAGGTACGCCGCAGGACTTGATTTCAGCAATGTCACTTAGCTAAAGCGACTTCTTTATTTCTGTCCCATAAATGTTTTGTAACATGTATCCTACTTGGCCAGCTGCGCGCGCGGCAATATTGCCACGCGCTTTGCCGAGTGAGCGCGAGGCCGAATGGTTACCGCGCTTGGCTCTGGCGCGGAGCCTCCGGGTTCAATTTTGAGGAGCGGACTCCTCTTTAATGTATTGTTTCAACTTCACATTCTCGTAAGTTCGAAAACCTTGTCGTCTGATCGAGTTACGAATGTTCTACGCGCGAAACGTTCTACGCCGAATTTTCCAGAAACCCATGTGGGTACAAAAAGTGCTCCGCGTGGCGGTAGTGAAAACTTGCGCTGGAAACCTTGTTTCGATCCCCATCGCCCTAGTCCGTTTCGATCTAAATTAGTTTCGTACCGGCAGGCGTTCATGTAATCACTACTGCGTGATGCACGTTAAAAACCCCAGGTTAGCGGTTGTACTGCACTGGCTAAATTTCTCATCTACAGCTAAGCTACCAGTCACCTGTTAAAGCACGCTACCATCAAAGCTGTATAAACACACAAAAGCAAGCCATTTTTTTTTTGGTCCGGAGCCAGTCTGGTTTCAGCGCTTCATCCTGCTCTTTCGCCGACATCGACGCCTGCGACGCTAGCATTTCTCTATTTTGTTTTGGACACAAGTTCGCCCCATTAAACATTTAGTTTATTCGGTTATTCGCCGCCTCATCATTTGTCATTCGTGGCAATATTCTGCTCCTTATAGATGGGCTGCATAAAATAGCCCTGCAATGTTGTTTTTTTTTTTTCGTCTTTTTTTGCCGTTTTGTGTGGTTGCGCGCCAATAAACCATTCTGGTAAACCAGATTTGCAAAACTGTACAATTGTTGTTTTCACTGCCGTCGATTCAAATTGCGCAATGCGAAAGTATCTTCAAAAGGAATTGAGTTACATTTCTAAGTATTTGTACTCTACTCAAGATACTTTACAGTGAAGATAACTTGAGCAGTACACTCTTAAAAACAAAAGGAGTCCAAAGGGGGTCGCTGCTTCGATGACTCTCTTCGCTGCCTCCATGACTCCCTTTGACACTTTACGACTCTCTTAGAGAGTCAGTAATTTGTGTGACTCTGTTTTTACTCTTCCACTTCTCAACAAGAGTCACAGGCGAGCAGCATTCGGCTCATAGTGTTCGTTTTCTAATTTATTTTCCAGGT